AAGCAGTGGTATCAACGCAGAGTACTTTGCAAAGCGGCACGCGTGCGATGAGCACAGTACAAACACCAGCGGTGTGAAGCACCCCGATGCTTCTGACACTAAGAAGGGATGACAGTGGCAGCCAAGCACAGCGGTTTAGGGCGGGGTTTCGGAGAGTTGTTTCAACGCACGGATCTCGATGATGATGACGAAGAGCGCGTTGATGACGCTAGTACTGACGGCGACGCGATAAACGAACGTGTTGGAGGCTCTCGGCTCGAGCTCATCTCCGTGGATGAGATCTCTCCGAACGCGCGCCAACCGCGTAAAATGTTTAACGAGGAAGAACTGACCGAACTCTCTGAGTCTATCCGGGCGGTCGGAGTTCTGCAGCCTGTAGTTGTGACCCCAGCCGACAACGGCTACGAACTCGTTATGGGTGAGCGTCGGTGGCGTGCTGCTCGCAAGGCCGGCCTCGCAACGGTTCCTGCGATCGTGCGCACCACGGCGAGCGAGGACATGCTGCGAGATGCGTTACTTGAGAACCTCCATCGCGTGCAGTTAAATCCTCTTGAAGAAGCAGCCGCTTATGAGCAGATGCTCAACGATTTTGGATGCACTCAGGATGAGCTCTCTGAGAAGATCAGCGTTCCCGGTCACAGATTGCGAACACCATCGGTTGCTCAAACTTAGCGCGGACGTGCAGAAACGACTTCTTGATGGTGAGATCACCGCTGGTCACGCTAGATGCCTTTTGGCGATTGATAATCCTGAGGTACAAGTCGGCACAGCGAATCGCGTCGTAGACGAAGGTTTATCTGTACGCGCGACTGAAGAGCTGGTTCGTCAGACCTTTGGACGATACGACAGAGGTTAAGCCGCATCAGCGGAAAAAACCGGTCGGGATACTGAGGCGTGAAGCTGGGAGAACAGCTATCTCAGCGGTTCCGTACCGCAGTCAAAGTGCGGCGCCGTAATGGGAGAGGCACCATAACCTTCCCATTCAATGATAATGAAGAGCTAGAGCGACTTATCGACATATTTTCTGACTGATGAGGTAAGACACTGAACGCGTTCGGCCACGGAAGAGAGCGTGGCCAAAGGCGTCACGCCGAACCCTGGTCGCGGTCGGACCGATGTTGCTCGCAATGGATACGTGCGTTAAGGACGGGAGTAGCTCGCAGCGGTCGCTAGTTTGCGAAAAACAGTGCGTTGTGTGAGCACGCTGCTACACGTCAAAGGTTTGCTGCAATGAGGTGATGCTGGAGCACAGTACCGGAGTAGGTAGCGGGAGAGTACATACAACCCGTCACTCAGTTGGTGCGCCATGATGAGCCCCAATAGTCTTTCGCGTCATCAATACGACAGTTGACATCCTTACGAGCGAAATACTCCCGCGACGAGGGACAGGAACGGAATCGTTCCGGCCAAAGCGATGATGAGCAGGCGGGTTAGTGGCCAGCCTGCCTTGCGTCCCAACAAATAGGCGGTGATGAGTAGTACGGGGTAGAGCCATCCGTGGGAGATTCCAACCACGTTGACCATCGTCGGCCTGCCCGCCGCGTACTTGAGTGGCATCGCTACACACACGAGAACAATCAAGAGTGTTCCCACAATGTACGCCATAACGCGGTAGCAGAGCAGGGCTTTGCGAACCCCTGAGATGTCATCAGGCTCGATCCATGGCTCTGTTTCAGTCTCGGCGGTAGTCTCAGAGTGACGGGAGTCCGTCGAGTGGTCGTGGGCCGCATCGCCAGCGCGAGTGTCGTCAGAGATGTTGTCAGGTGTCATATAAAAGTCGTCACTGGTCACGTCGTCGCTGTGTTTCACGTGAAACAGAGTACTGAAGCACGTCAACTGACGCTGCATCGAGCAGGCCGTCATTCCTTATGCTTGCCCGCTGCGCGGGCGAAGGCGAGAGACATGGCAACAGTAAAGATCGCAAAACCCACCATTGCAATGCGTAGCCGCGATTACGTTCGCTACCGTCACCCTTCGGGAGTACTGGTTGTGCTGGGGCGAGCCCCTGAGCGAGCGCATTTTTCTTATCGAGGGGTCAGGGTTGCTGGTACCAAGGGTTGGGGCCACGTCTGGGTCAACACTTCCAGCCGCAAGGAGGGGAGCACGGCAGCCGGCATCTGTGAATTTCGGCGACCGTCATCGGCTTCAGATGCCGCGAGCACACCCGTCACTGTTATAACGCCCGTGGGCGCAGCAGGGACTCTCTCGCCCTTCGAGAGCTTGCCGCGAACTATGGCCATCGTTTCCCCGGAGGTCAATTTGATTCCCGTTACGACGCGTACTGGCCACGATGTGCCTATCAAGGTTGTGGTCGACCGTTGGAACGTGCCCGTCACCGTCACCCGGCGTCCGTACTGGGCCATGACATCGGCCTTCTTAGGAGCCTCATTCCAGGTGATTACTGGACCGTTGATACGCGCCCTGCGTCGAGTCGTCACGTTGGGACTCAAAAACGTTCATCTGCCACAGTCCGAGGAAGACCATCACACTGGCAAGGACGACGCCGAGCAAGACGACAGATGCCTGCTTGACGCGCACGGCGTGGCGGGAGCCCTTCATGTGCACACTGTCAGCCATGGTTGCGAGCGACGTCATCGACGAGTCGAGAGCACACCTCGCCAAGGTCTAGACCGGCGGCTTTCATAGCCACGGGGTACGAGCGAAGTAGCTGTCATCCCGGGAGCAGCACCGGCCTCCAAGAAAACTGGGCGACCGGACTCGTCCACGATCGCATCGACACGAGATATCCCGGAGAAATCGAGCTCCTTTTGCACGACTCGGGCCATCGCCGTCGCGGTTTGGGCCGCTGTATCGCTAATGTCTGCAGGAGCTGTTAGTCGTGTCTCACCACCGGTGTACATCGCTGAATAATCATAAACACCACCGACAGGGCGAATCTCGACGGCTGGCAGCACACGCGTGCCTTCAGACGTCGTGATCATGCCTATTGCGAGCTCAGTGCCCACAATGAATTCCTCGACTACAACCATGTCGTCATAGGCATAGGCGTTCGCGACGGCCTGAGGAAGATCGTCGACGCCATCGACTTTTGTGACGCCGAGGCTTGAGCCCCCACGTGCCGGCTTAACGATGACCGGAAGGCCAAACTTTTCGGCGATCGAACGCATGACCGTCTGAGCGCCAAGCTCACGGAAGACGTCATGGGGTAACGCGACCTGCTGTGGTGTGACGATCCCGGCTGCGGCCACGGCGCGAGATGCGATGGACTTATCGAAAGAGATACGGCAGGTTGCTGGACTGGAGCCCACATAGGGGGATGCCCCATGAGCTGAAGTACTTCAAGAAGGGCACCATTTTCGCCAAGACCACCGTGCAACATGGGAAACACGACGGCACCGTCGTTGGCACGCAAGGTCTCAATGAGTGCGGAGTCAATATCGGCTTCCACGACTTCGTGTCCGACCCGCCGCAGCGCTTGTGCAACGGTGCGACCCGACTTCAGAGAGATATCGCGCTGGTGGCTGAGGTCCTCCGGCAAGGACGACGACTGGTTGCAACATGCCCCCATTCAACCAGTGCCAAGACAATGATGGCATAACCGACCCTCCCCGTATCTATAAGACAATGGCAGCAACGTGGGAGCAGCTTGGGAAAGCGTCCGCCTGAGGGCGTGGTTGAAGCACGCCGGGCCGATGCTCACATAGTTATCAAACTGCGCCCGCCATAGAAGTGAGCAATAAACGACAATTGTTTGAAACAAACCCGCTACGGGGCGAGCTCAAAGTCGCTCCCGGCAGCTCCTTCTTCCATATATAGCTAAGTCGACATAACGTTATATCTATAGAACGCGAATTGGAGTCGCATCGCTGCAGGGTTTGATCCCTGTCAGAATCACGCCAAGTTCGGACCAGGCCCCAAATCGCGGGAATGACGCCGCTCGTCAGCCAGCCCGAACGTCTCGGCGATTTCCAGCTCTTCACGCATCACACCAGCCAGTCTCTCGACACCGACTTTGATGCGCTCAGGAGTCGGGGTAACAGAACGACAGGCGAATATTGCGCTGACCACGACCATCCGCGTAGAACGCCGTCCCCGGCGTATAAGCGACAAACTTCGTCACAGCTCGAGGAAGCATGGCGGCAGAATCGATCGCTCCCGGCATCGTCAACCAGACAAAGAACCCGCCAGATGGGTGAGACCACGTCGTCCCCTCAGGCATAGTCTCAGCCAACGAGGCCAGCATAGTGTCACGACGGATGCGGTACATATTGATGAAGCTATCCACCTGGGCACGCCAATCCCAATGGGCCAGGTAGCTCGAGACAGCAAACTGGGAAAAGACCGGCGGGCACAAGGTCGCCGACTCCTGGGCAAGAACCAGTTTGTCGCGTACGAACGACGGCGACAGAACCCAACCGATGCGGAAGCCTGGCGCGAATGTCTTGGAGAAGGACCCCAAGTACACGACGTTGTCGGGATCCATCGACTTCAACGTCGGCAGTGGATCACCATCGAGGTTGAGTAACCCGTACGGGTTGTCCTCAACCACCAACAGATCCAGCTCGTCAGCCACCGCTAGGATCTCCCGGCGACGCTCGGTGGATTGCGAGATTCCCGACGGGTTCGAGTAGTTAGGAACCGTGTAAAGGAACTTCACCGACTTGCCGTCTTGACGCGCTGTAGTCACTTTCTCACGCAGGGATTCCGGAACCAACCCGCTGTCGTCCATGTCGACGTGAATGACCTCAGTTTGGTACGAGGCGAAGGTATTGAGCGCCCCGACATAAGCCGGCGACTCGGCCATAATGGACGTCGCTTGGGTTGCAAAAAATGCGCGTGACGAGATCCAGGCCCTGCTGAGAACCACACGTGACAGTGACGTCATCAGGGTCTGCGACGAGCCCCTCAACGGCCATCACCTCGCAGATGTGCTTGCGCATCTCAGGTTCACCCTGCCCCGACCCGTATTGCATAACGACAGTGCCGCGAGTATCAACGAGCTCCTTCAACGACTCACTGACGACGTCAAGAGGGAGGTCGGCAATGTTAGGCATACCACCGGCTAAGGAAACGACCTCGGGGCGATTCGCTACCGCGAACAGGGCACGGACGGGAGAGGTTTTCAATCCCAGGGAGCGGGTGGAATACCGATCGTGGAACTTGTCAAAGGTGGTGTCGACTCGGCGGTCGGTAGCAGCGTCAGCGGCCTCGTGAGCAGCAACGGCGGCTTTGACGCGCACGCTATCGGTCGGAGGAACAGGTTGCCTGGTGATGTGGTTTGTGCTGCTCACCCTCCCACTGTGCCCCACCGCAGACCCGGAAATCTAGAATGACACTCACCCAGGTGTGGTCTATTTCACCCATCGGACGTCACAGCGGGGCGCGGTGAGGAGCCGTCGTCGATCCGCTGCAGGGCGCATCGGGAGGAGACATTGTGCGAGTCAGGCATTTGACAACGCTGAAGCGGGAGGACACCCGAATTCTGGGACCCGCCCCCCGACTGCGGCAATGGAAAATTGACCCTGACAAGGCTTTGCCAGAGTGGGCTGATGAAGCTTGTCAGCGGTGGGGATTCTTTGGGGTCGCAAGTCGTCACGGGGACGAGATCGAGGGCATCCTGCTCGTCGCTACTGAAACCTGTCTTCCGCCAGACCATCCGATGTCGAAAATTCCCCGCACACCTGGGGGCAGCGGTTTCTAGTGGGCTTTCTTCCTCATCGGAGTGACGCTTCTTGGGGGAGAGTGCGGACATCCTTCCTGGCAGCTCGCCTACACGGATCCGTGCGGTCATTGAGGCTGGTGGCGTTATTGGACCATGCACCGATCCTCGTATCGCACCCGTCACCTGGTTGGAATCGTGGGGATTCCAGGAGGTTGACCCTATGAGCGCCGGAGCGATTCGTCGCATGAGGTTAGACCTGCGGCGGTCAGTTAAAACGGAAGAGAGCTGGATAGAGCGCTGGTTTGGGTGGTTTGCGCGGCAACGGGTTAGTTCCAGCTGATGTTGGACGATTGCGATGGCCGATGAGTTTGGCCCGCCATGATTACGATGCCCCGGCGACCGTGGTTCAGACCAGCACGCAGTCCCCACAGCAAGCTATGCGAGAGCCACTGACCTGGTAATAGAGGCAACAGCTGCGGCGGTGAAAGCCCGGTCCGGCAGTGATACCGGGGCGTGGGTCGACCATAGCCAATATCTCTGTGGCGACGTCGATGGCTGCCTGGCGTAAATCTGGGCGACAGCGAGTCACCATGATGACCGAAGTGCTCACTGCTGAGGCTAGGTTGTCCCAGGCGACAATTTTGCTCAACCCGGCGGCGATGAAGGCACGAGTGATCTCTTCAACCGCTGAACCGGTGATTTTCGCTGGTCCCGGTTGCCAAGCTACCGACACGGGAACCGGAGCAAGAGGCACATCACGGAACCAGAGGTCCGCGAGCCTGGGGAAATCAACATCGTTGCCGAGGGTCCGGGCTGCGACGACCGGAACCACCAACCTGGCGACAATTCCCAGTTGGGTTGCCGACAGTGCGACACGATAGGGCAACCGGGCCATCTGCGGCAGGGACCTCGTGACCATGGCCCGCCTTTCCCTCATGGCGCTGGGTCAGGAGAGCCTCGTGGGTATGGTTGACACGGCGGATGAGGGTTTCGGGAGCGATGAGCTGAATCGCCGGAAGCCAGGAACCAGCGGGGAGATCGCTCGGCCGGTGATTTTCGACACAGACCCACTCGTCGAAACCGGCTGTAGTGAGATCAATGACGTCCACACCCCCATAGTGCTGCCTCTCATGCTGCTTCGCGAGTCCAGTGACAAGGGATGAGGTGCGAAAAATCCCGCCACGGTGAGGGGGCGAGGCACTCAAGTGTTGTGACCCCACCCGAGGCGGGATTTTTCGTCACAAGGATCCGGCGCCCAGATTGTGTTCAGGGTTTAGAGATCCCGGATACGTCACGAACGGCCCCGGGATACCGGGAACCAGGGACCTGGGTAACAGACGATCGGCCCCAGGTGATGACACGCGGGGCCGACCAACCTCAGCGGAAGTTGACCTGCCGACCAAGAGTGCCCACCAACTGTTGGCGGTACTCAGCCGTCACGGCGCGATCGTGGAACTTGCGGACTTGATCCAGACGGGGCCTGGACGTCAATTTCCTCGCAGGCGACGCGTTACGCGGATCAGCCATGAACTGCTCAAGGTGGGCGATTCCTCGCTCGGCGCGCCGCACGGCTTCGGCCTGCTTGGCGTCGATACGCTCGGCGTACCAGTCGGAGGCAAGTACTGACTCGCGGTGTGAACATCTCCCGCAACTCGGGATCGTCAAGAGTCCAACCCTCCGAGCAAACTCCATTGACCATGATTTCCAGCAGAGCCCGGATGGGCGGTACCGCCAGCGAGACCGTCCCGTCGTCGAAATAGGCCTTAGCTACTCGAGCGTGAGTAGTCGAGATCGTTCGCACCGAGTCAGCGAAGATGTCGGCGTCCTGAAGTTCCGGACGCAGCATCTCAGGGGTGAAGACGGTGTCGGGGGTGCAAGAAGATACGCCCGAAATAGGCGCGCATGAACTTTTCCGTCATGCGGTAGCCCAGACGGGAGGCGAGAATGAGTTCGCCATCTTTATCGTAATCTTCCAGCTTCTCCAGATAGCCACCCTCGATAAGGGTCTTGGCATCCCTCTCGGCTGGGGGACATCCGGCAGAAGATTTCCGGGACGAGCAGGGAAATGTCGTGGGCGACCTCAACCTTCGGCCGATGAATCCGGCCGAAGATAACCAACCATCATACCCCGATAGCACGAAGGACAGGAAGGACGAGTTGAGGTCGAAGACCGCTGGCAAGGCATTGAACGGTGCCTTCGTCAGGGCTCCCTCCGAACCGGCTCCCGTCGTCGAAGGACTCTTACCAGTCATCGAGGAGATGAACTCCCATGAATAATTCCGGCAGCTCCATGTAGTGCAGTGGGTTGTACGCACACAAGGCCGGGATTTTGCCCTCGGGCGGGTTGTTGCGACGCCCGGCGGCGACCACGTCGACCGGCAGGGGCAGCGGTTCGTCGATCGGCAGTCCGTGATACAGGTGGCTGGCAAGATTGGCGATTGCGGTTTCGCGCGGCTTGGCAATGTCTGGACGCACCCTGCAAGTAGCGTGGGTTGCGCGAACGCACCCCGTCGATAAGACGAGGATCGGCGCTGGAGACGACGAATTTTGGCTGCTCCGAAGGGTCGGAATCAGCGAAGTTCGACAGGAAGGTGCGCATCGGTGGGGTGAACTTCGAGAAGGCCACCACGTCGTCACGCATTGCCCTGACGTCCTCGCGGGGTCAGCGGCTGGTAGTTCGAGATGAACAAGTCCGTCCCGCTCATATCACGCTCGGTTTGGGTGTCGTACCCACGGTAAATGGCGTCGTCAGGGCGCTGGAAGAGCAACGCTTCGCAGTTGGCGACGACTTTGCGCGACAGACCTTCAGGGCCGGTAACTACGCCCGGAGATGTGACGATTGACGCTGTCATGTCATCCTCGGTTTGCACCTTAACGGCCGGAGCGTAATCGTGGCGCAGGGTGAACAGCCCGCCACGAGCCGTCGGGCTGGAATCCCACGCGCGCCATACTCACCAGCACCTTCTGGCCGTCGAGACGGACCATGTTGCCGTGGCGACCATTTGTGGGGGCGACGCTGAAGTGGGAGCGCCAGTCATCACCCCATTCCGGCTTGTAGTAGCGCTTGATGGTGAAGACCAGCTCCTTGCGGAAGGCCGGAATCGAGTTGATCCAATCGTTGTACCAGTCGGTGAAGTCCGAGGATGGGGTGAGGAGCTTGATGACCGAACCCACCGAACGCTCCGTCGAGAGGACCGGACGATGGTCGATGCCGTTAAGCTTGGGATCGGCGAACCGCGTCGAGTAGTCCCCGATGCAAGATGTCATCGACGGCATCCATGTCGGCCTCGAAATCCGGAGAGTAGGCATTGCCCCACAGGAAGGTGTCCGATATGGCCTTGGAAATCTCCGACTTCCCACCACCGGATACCGTGCAGCACTTATGTAGAGTCGTCGAATCGCCGTAAGTGCCCTCGAGGTACCACTGGTCGTCAGCATCGTTGTGGACCATGTGAATCCGGTAGCCGGCGGGGGAGATGTACTCGGTGTCAGCGCGCATTCGGATCGAGTGGTCACCGTTATCCCAGCTGACAGTGCCGTCACGCAGGCTGAACTTGGGTCCCACCCGGCACCAGGACGACGTCGTCGATATCGAGTACCCGGGCCTGGCCGTCGCTAAGCATCTCGAAGTGGTCCGGATTGGCCATAACGACGTCGGAAACCGTCTGGTCGCAGACTGGGGTGGCGTATTCCTGGCCCTCGTTGTGGGAGATGTAGGCGCGGGGCGCCGCCGGAATGCTCCTCCTCGGCCAGCCCGAACAAGTTAGCTGAGTAGGAGATCTGGGTCTTAACCTCCTTCTTGCAATAGCCGAAGTAGTTGTCGGCGACGATAGTGAGGATGACCCCGGACTCGTCACGGGCACACAGCTTGAATGGCTTGCCCTCGTTGTAGAGCTCAGACTCGTCAGACCAGCACATCCCGTCGCGACGCTGACGGTCGGTTGCCTGGTCGACATGGGGCAGACCGAGGTCTACCTTACGGATGAGGTTGAGATGCGGGGCGAGGATGATGCAGCCGCTGTGGCCAGTCCAACCCGACGGGGCGAGGGCCGAGTCGTTCACGGGCAGAAGGGGATCGCCACTGTTACCAAAGATCCCCTCCACGAAGTCCAGGTTGGAGACCAGCCCGCCGGGGGCGAAGAACCGAATCTCCATGCGGCGCTCGGAGACGAAACCGGGCACTTCGGGCACCACCAGGGGCCTCAGCAACAAGGAAACCCAGGTGTGGGCCTGGCGGTCGACCGGTTGGGTAGAAGTGTAAGGCAGCAGGGTGTGCTCGGGTGGGGCCTGGAAGGCAAGGTCGAGCAGACGGGCGAAGACGTCGATCGGCACGGCCTTCTTGTCGTCGGGGATTGCCAGTCCGCCCTCGGCGACGTGGAATACACCAGCAGTGGTGCGACGGTCATTGCGGGGATTGTGTAGGACGCCGTTGGCCACTCGGTAACTCGAGACAAGGTCGGAACTGAAATCGTCGCCGTCGACGGGTAGCGAGAGGGCCCGTGCGAGGCCGGGCTCGTCAAGGGTCAAGGTGGTGTCGGGCAGTCGGGGGTGGACGGAAGAGTCCTCGCCCAGGTAGCGGTCGATGAATGCCTGAATACGGCGGTCGGCCGGGCAGAGGAGCTCGGGGAGTTCCCTCCTCAGCTCACGCTGCCGGGCCAAGACTGGGGCGACAACGTCAATGTAGGAAGCGCGCGCAGCCGTCGGCAGTGGCAGACCGTTGAGCGCCAGTCTTAGATTCACGGAATCCATGTGAGCTTGAGTGACCATAGAACCAATTGTGCCTGCCATCGAGTGGTTCCCATGGAGGAGTGGCCAGACGGGCAAGCGGTCCGGGCGGGGGTGGGCGTAAGGGCGCTCGCTCTCACGCCCACCGGGTCTACTTGTGCGGACGTTACTGCGCGACGCCACGCCACCTCTTGCGCAGGTGGAAGGCGGCCGACTTGGGCTGGCGATCCCGGGTGAAGATGCCCTTTCGGTTGGCTCCGACGCGCATCGTGCCACTGGTGGTCGCGAAGTCCGCGAAGTTCCAGATGTGCTCACCGACGATGGCGTCGAAAGAGTCGAAGACCCGCTCGTTCATCTTGAGCACTTCGACCTGGTACTCCTCGCTCCATGGCTGGGCGGGGATTTGGTGCAGACCGGGCATGGTGTCGGCGCCGTATTCGGTGATGATGATCGGCTTGTTCTCGCTGGCCCAACCTGCCATCTCTTCTCGCCAGTGACGCTCAGCGGCGGCCAGGTCGCCAGTGTCGACGTACCAGCCATAATAGCGGTTGAGCAGCAAAACGTCGGAGTACTGCGATACGCGACACTTTCCGAACGGAGCGAGCATGACGTTGACGAAACTCACCGGACGGGTGGGGTCGGCTGCGCGTGCCACGTCGAAGAGGGGGAGGAAGTAGTTTTCGGCGGCTTCAGTCTCAGACTCTGGCTCATTGGCGATGGACCAGATGATGACGCTGGGGTGGTTTTTATCTCGAGCGATAAGGTCTCGGATGACCTGGGCATGAACCTTTTGGGTCTTGTCATTGATGGTCTCCGCGGAGAAAGTCGGGTAGCCCTGGGCGCCAAAAATGCCGCCACCCAGACCCATGTTTATGCCGACAGCAGGGGTTTCGTCGATAACGAGCAGACCATGACGGTCGGCGTAGTCGAGGATACGCTCGGAGTAGGGGTAATGGGACGTGCGCAGCGAATTCGCCCCGATCCACTCTAGACAGGCGGCGTCGCGCAGCATGAGGGCATCGTTGTGGGCCTTGCCGATGGTCTGGTGATCCTCGTGCATGCCGAATCCGGTCAAGTGCACGGGCTCGCCGTTGACGAGGAGGCGGGCGCCGTCGACACGGATAGTTCGGACGCCGAAGACCTGCTGGTAAGTATCGATTACCTGATCACCGTCGACTAGGGAGATTTCGGCCTCGTAAAGATACCCGTGGCCTGGCTGCCAGAGATGGACCGACGGGATGCGCGCATGGGCGTTCGCACTGGTTCCCCCAGCGACCACGTTGCCCTCGGTGTCGAAAATTGTCACCCGAGTCGTTAAAGGTTCAGCATCGTGCAAAAGAACCGACCAGGTGACGATTCCGTCATTTCCGTCAATGTCAGTGGTGATGGTGACGTCCTCAATGTGGGCCTGGGGGCGGCGACACAGCCACACGTCGCGGTGGATGCCGGCGTAATTGAAGAAGTCGTGCCAGTACTTCTGCTTCGGGCCCTCGGGAGAGTCGACGATAATCCCCGGCGGAATGGTCTGGAAGGACAACCGATTATCGACACGAACCGTGAGCCGACATTTTTTGCCCGCGCAGACATGATCGGTGATATCGGCTTCGAAAGGGAGGTACCCGCCAACATGTCTGACGACCTCGACGTCGTTGACCCAGACGGTGGCGGCATGAGTCGCAGACTCGAAATGGACGACGACGCGATCATCGGTCCAACCGCGCGGAATGCGAACCTCACGTTGGTACCAGACTGGGCCAACGTGATCGCGGGCGGCGGGATCAGTGGAGAGATCCTGGTACGACGCCGGAACTGCTATCTCGGTGCACGTGGGCAACGGTCGAGTGAACCATTTCTCTGTCTGGCCGCGGTCCTCGGCGTCGAAGGCAAAGTCCCACATCCCCGACAGACACTTCGTGTCCCGGGTGGCGGTGTCCTGTGGTCGCAGCATCATGATCTCCTTCCGGTTGTGGCGTTTGGTTTCTAGTCCTGGGCGGCGTCGGCTACGACCTTGATGGCGCGGTCATCTCCTGGGCGAAGAGCGAAAGCCATAGTTCCCCATGACGGTTGGTAGTCACCTTCGACATGAGTATGAACTATCACCGTGGTGTCGGTGTGATCGGCGGACCAGGTGAGCCAGTACCCATGGCCCTGGCGGTAACCATTGGTATGGCCATCGTCGTCGAAGAAAAATCCCTGCGAATGGCCGTTACCGTCAGGAAGGTAGAGAACGATCCTGTGTGGGGAGTTTTCGACCGTCCGCGTGGTGATGATTTCCCCCGAAGGCGCGGGCAACTCACACTGTGGGATCCCTGCCCCAGCGCACACCAGCAGTGGCAGGCGGTCTAGTGGGGCCTCGAGGGTGACGGTGCCTGGGTCATGATGGACGCCGGTGTCGAACTCAAACCAGCCGTCGGAGACGTGAGGGAGGGTGACGGTTCGAGTGGTTTGGCCCTTTTCGACGACGGATGCCACCAACAGGTCGTGGCCGAGTAGGAAATCATCGGACTCCTCATGAAGCGTGTCGTCGAGGCTGAACACCGGGTTGACGATGGGTTCGCGTCGCTCCGCCGCCAGATATGACAGGGTGTACAGGAATGGGATGAGGCGGTAGCGCAGCCGGATCATCTCTCGGACGATGTCGGTGATCTCGGGGTACATCCAGGGTTCATTGACCGAACCATCGTTGTGCCAGGAATGGATCGTGAAGCGCGGATGCATTACGCCGTTGGCCACCCAGCGGGCAAAAAGCTCCGGGCCGGGTCGGGCGGTACCGGCGAATCCGCCGACGTCGTGGCCGAAATTCACTAGCCCAGACATGCTCATCCCTACACCCATCCGGGTGTTGTACTTCAGGGTGCGCCAAGAGGTGGAATTGTCACCACTCCAGGTCTGGACGTAGCGCTGCAGACCTAGCGGCCCAGACCGAGAAATAAGGAAGGGGCGTTCGACAGGGGCAGCCTCGCGTTGGGCTTCAAAGGAGGCGCGGCTCATGAGAAGGGCCTGCACTGGGCGAATGCGGTCCAGCTCGACAGGGTGACCAAAACCGTCACAAATGGCGTCCTCTGACCACAATTCGTACTCGTTGTTGTCGTTCCAGGTGGATTCGATGCCCATGTCGATGAGCTGG